TATATTTTTGTTCTCTCCCATTTTCCATTTTATTACCGGCCACTCGACTGTTGTAGCCTCCACGTGTAATAAAAAATTCTACCGTTAATGTTACAACATTGTTATTTATACGTTACTCGCATTTTCCTAGATAGTAATGGGTATCAGCTTATTCTCCCTTGAAGCGTATTTTAAGCAAGAGATCGTAAGGTATCCCAGCGAGATTAGACGCACCTCCTTTTATAGTCCTACGTAACAGAACGAATCCTCGCGTGAGTGCATCGATCGATCGACGGTGGCTTCTATCACCTTTCTTTCGTTTCTTCCTCGTCCCTGCGAGCCCATTCATACATGAATATTACCACGAATAGACGTTGGAATCACAAACTGATGTAGAAATCAATATTTCCTCTTGCTCGAGTAATTTCTTTTTTTCGGGTAGTTTGGCTATTCAACCACTTGTCTATAGACATACGTTCTATTTATATTGATATAAAAAATCATCCTAATCGTCTAGTCACTTTTAAGGCTAGGTCAACTCTTCCACCCCTTCTTTGAGGACCCAAGTACATGGATAGTAGATCGATAGTCGTTCATGGTGCTATTTTAATGTCAAATATACCTGAAGAATTATATAGATATTAGTTCTTTATGGGTAAAATTTGTAGTGTAGGTTTTACGAACTCATAACTAAATAGACTTCGGATATTTATGCAAATTTACAATTTTGAATATTAATATAGAGAAAATCAAATTGCACAGAAATTTCATTTCTATATTATGAATTCTAATTAGTTAATATTAATGCACAGATAAAATTAAATTTTACTCATAAGACTTGTTCCACAGTGTTCCATATAGGGGTGAGATAGCGAAACCTCCCCTAGTAGATTTTCTCCAGAAAGAATTAATATTTCTTTAAATTTTCAAAAATATTAGACATTAAAATAATATCAGAATCGACTATGGATCTATGTACTTGGGTCCTCATAGCAGGTGTTGAAGGGTTGAACCACCCTTAAAAGTTACTAAGCAGTAAGAATGACATTCGATTCAATTTTTTTAATATAAAATTAAGTGAATACTGATTTATTGTCGGTTGATTTCATTCAGGGGTGGTTTAGCCGTTCATCCCCACCTCCGAGACTAGATCCATTAGTTTCTTTCTGCGACGTCGCGATGTTTGCGTCCGAGTTAATTAAATTAGTCGAGCGAAAGGTCAGGGCTAGGCAACCCTGATCGAATGTGTAATGAGTCGTCCCAATGTGGGATAGGGGGGCACGGCAATTAAGGGGACGCCATTAATATTGACCCGTGTCGGTTTCACTCCTAACGAAATCGTAATCGGGAACCAAACGAATGGTCACGAACTGTCAGAAAACCTGGAATCGTGCTTCCTATCTGGGAATCCCACAATCAATGCCAGGGGTTGCAACCCTTAGTCAAGCAAAATTTCAACCTGTCAGTGGCGATCCACAGGGATTTATTCCTCTTCGTTATAAAAAGTTCTCATATACCCTGTACACAATACGAAAAAATTAGTTTCTTGAAAGTATTTGGTGATTATACTGGGGATGAATATTATTTATAGTACCTATTGCATTCGTATTTCTGTGATTTATTTTATGCGTTATGTTCATCAAAAAAATTTTCTATACACTCTGTAACATAATAAAACAAATTAGATTCTTGAAAATATTTGGTGACTATACTGAGGGATAAATGTTATGTGTTTATAGTACCTATTGTATCCCCATTTCTATGGCTTATTCTATGTGTCATATTCATCAAACAATTTTCTTCTCCATCCTTTAACAAAATAAACAAAAAATTGGTTTCTTGAAAGTATTTGGTGACTATATTATGGATGATGTTATGTATTTGTAGTATCTACAACATCCCTATTTCTGTGGCTAAAATAATCGTACCCACCCTCTAACGTGAAAAACAAAAAAATTGGTATCTTGAAATGATCTGATGACTATAATACAGACATTATTACGTCCCTACTTTTTTAGGTTATTCCACTATAATGTTAAATTTACAACAATATCCAGAGTCTACAAATTAGCTTCATCAAACTGGCAGTCTGTGTAGTCCAAATGTCTACAATTATCCACGATAAGACCCGGTACAAATGAAACGTGTCATGTACCACAGTCAAATGGGTCCCGTAAGGATCTGTCTTGGGCTACACCAGGTAAACGAAGGGTGGCAAGAATGGATACTTTTAACGAGCTCGTTGAAAGACATTCCGAGGGATCGATATCACCGGCGGTGGAGGCAATAGAGCGAAAGTGAAGGCGTTGATGTGACGGCACCGGTCGCTATTAATTGGTTTACCCCGCAATGTGTCATCCCTTAATTAATACCCTCTAGGGCCAACAAAGGCGCGTTGCCGACTTAATACGATGAGTCACGTGCGCGGACAGTGTTACGGGCTCGTGGAAAACTCGGAACTTCGTAACTTTTGCTGGATATATGATACAGCCTTCCCAATTCAATCGCTTCTACAGTTTTTGCCAAACACTGGAAAAACTAACTCCACTTTTTGCTGAAAACAAGAAGATATTACTTATCGATCCGGCGAGATATTTGGAAACGTTATTTCTATATTTTTCTGTACCTTTATCTGCACTTTTATCTGTATCTTAATCTGTACTTTTATCTGTACCTTTATGTATAACTTTATCTGTATCTTTATCTATACTTTTCTATGCATTTAGTTAATTTATTTTCAATTGTTTTAGATTATCTTAGTCTCTCTCTATACTCACGTCACTTGGAGCTGACGAAACGATTATAAAGAGAGGGAGTCATGATTCTAAAACACCTTCGAATCTTTAACTTAAAAAATAATTATTAAACAGTAAAATTGAAGTCTTACAGTTACTGTACTTAGATTGAGACACAGAGTCAGCTGGTATCACTATTAAAATATCCCTTTCCAAGGGTTAATTCCCAAGTGTACGGAGTAAACTCTGTGGACGTTAGTTTAGTTTCTGGTGGAACGTTAAACGGTTCCCAAGTGAATATCGATGGCTATCGATATAGAGCAGGGGAAGAATTTCGGAACTCATGGAACGCATGCGAAGAAATTCGAACCGATCCATCACTGGGAAGTCTTCGCCAAGAAATTCCACTTCGACCAGCAGTCTAGCGAGCAATTTCACCGATAAACTGTGGAAAAACATCGAAGTTACAGTCTCGAATCTCATTATTGTATCGCTTAAGGGGGCATGCCTAGTCAGCAAGCCAAAAAAGAAGTTCCATCTTTAAGAATTTTTTCTTTAAAAACAGATGAACATTTTCTTACAACTAACATTTTGTTCAAAAACGAATATACTGCGCAATTAATTGAAGGTTTATTTGTACAAATTATATTAGTTGTAAGAAAATGTCGATCAGTTTTTTCCAAAAAAAATTCCCAAAGATCGCCTTCCTTCCTTTTTTAATAATCAGCCTTTTACAAATATGGATCCATGGAAATGAAATTCATTCCGGAAGCAAGGAATCGCCTAACGATACGGGAGCACGATCCAAGAAAAATGGCGTCCGTCGATCCACTTGCGGCAACGAGTTTTACATAGGCGAAGGTTCTTTTTATTTCTAGTTGTCGCTCACGGGGACTAGTTCGATCCATTTCCTGCGGATAAATCCCGAGCTGATCCTCTTAAAGACTCGGAACTAGCTTTCCTCCGAGTGAAAGCTTCGCGGGAAACAGCGGTAACTTCGCGGGAAATCTTTGAACATTGGCGAAATCATCAATGGAATACAATTTACGTTCGCTTAAAGAACAATACATGGTAGGGAACTTTGGTACCCTGAAAATTGTGGTTTTTCTTCAAACTCCTCAGGTTTGTATAGGACCTTGATAGAAATGTTAATCCTGCTGATATTTAGTTCTTCAGGGTGATGTGTCTTCTCCTATTTTCCTGTATATCTTGAAAACTATAGTAGATACAAAAAAAATTGTTGAAATGAAAATCCAATGTGTTCCTATGATCTATAAGACTGTGTAATAAAATTGTTAGAAATTTATTATTTAAATAAATAAATAAATAAAAAAAAATTTTTAAACATTTCTATTACACACCCTTATAGAGCATAAGAAGCCATTAAGTTTTCATTTTAACAATTTTTGTACACCTACTATAGTTTTCAAGATATCAGGAGAAAAGGCAAAACCACATTAATCTTTATGGGACGTTTTCAATCTGAAGAATCCAAAAGTGGCAAAAGAAGAATTACCCGATGCTTCTATCGAGGTCCCCTACAAACTCTCAAAGTTGGAGAGTTACATTGTTGATTGAGAGTGCAGAGTTAACACAAATCGGAATTTTTGGGGTACTAAAGTTCCCATGTTATTTATTCTAAAGAGAATTTTCGAATTAATTATTACTATCAATTTTAAAGTTTTATCTCAAAATATTTCTATCCAGTTCGTAATTGTATCCCCGAGAAGATACACCAACCCTACGAGTTTCTGTTAGGTGGCTCGATGTATGCAAAGTAATTCGAGGTTGCGACTGTTCTTCCGGTTCCTAACCTCTTTCACGTAGCCATTTACATTTAAATGCAGCGAAAGGGTCACGTGTCTCGTCGTAACTCGACACGGTGAATTGATAAATTATTTTTATAGAACATCCGTTTCCGTAAACACCACGTCCATTCGTCGTTTCTTCGCTTCACGAACGAACAATACAATCCTCTTAAGTTTCGAGTAACTTCGACACTTCTTGAAGGGCTGCTTTTTCCTTTGTCCTTAAACCTGAAAGCGACAAGAAGTTTTTCCCTGCATAAGATTGGAAACAGTCGAAACTTTCAGGATCTTTAGAAATTTTCAAACATCAACGGGATTCGTTTCATTAATTTCAAGGAAAATCGCGTAGACGATTAATGGCGACGGAACTGTTTAAACGCAAAACTAACCTTATCGGGAAAAGTGTTCCAACCGAAATTATGGCGTGGGAGCGTTCTAGAAATCTTTGACGAAAGTTTATCGGTCCATGGGGGGGGGGGGGGGGGAGGCACTTCCAAGCGCAAAAACTTGATAAACAATGCTCGTTCCGTCTGGAAGAAGGAGAACGAGTGTAATATGTCTTTCGCAGGGTTAATCAGGATAATGTGTCTGACTATAGACTGCTCATTCCACTGCGAAGCCAAGGGATTATGCGAACACCACGCACCGTTGTGTATTATCAGAGGCAATAAGCTTTGGTCTACGTTGTTTACCCCATTTGTTATTAACAGACCACAAATATGGGAATATTTACATTCCATTTAGTAATTTCTGCGGGCAGACAAGATACACAGGATAAAAATAAAATTCCATCATGAAGTATAGAAGAGTATGTCTAATTTGTCGTAAATGTTACCATTCCAAACGATAATTGATTTAAAATAAAGTTTTGTATCGAAAACTTGCAACCTGATTTATCTTCTCTTCAAGATACCAAAATAATTATTGTACATAATAATGGATCCTAACCTAGAATTTCTCCTTGAATATAAAAAATGCTCGATAACGAGGAGAAAATAATCTGAAAGAAATTGCTGGAAAATGTTCTCTCCTTGATTAAATCGTGTACATTGGATCTTCGCAATGTAGTACACAGCGTTCACACCCAAAAGAAATGAATTAAACCGCCGTGGCTAATTAATTGCTTCGTTATAACGCATCGGAGGCGGTCTTTCAAAGGCAATATCCTCACGTTACGCATCGACTTTCATTCATTAAATTAACTTCACCACAGAAATAAGTATTTTCGTGCGGACAAAGTAATTCTACTTCATCTACAATTTCTCTACTTGTACTCTGTCCACCCAAAATGCAGTGAATACACGGCAACTGTAAAGTCTGTCATGTAAATTCTTCAATTTTCACGGTAGATAAATATGATCTTAAATAAGAATTCCTGCATCTTAATACGAACTTAATTGACCTGTGTCAAATTGGGGGCCAAAACGGAATAGAGTCTATGTTGCTGCCAATTGTTTACAGCAAATCTTGCATCGAATTTGTAGCTATAATTTTATAACAGGCATTGGAAAAAATCTGGCTGAATGGGTAGCTCATCTTCTCTGGACTTCAGTCTACTTTTCTGGAGACCCTGTAATGCACCATGAAAAAATCATACTGCTCAAAACCAATGAATATTCATGCAAGAAAGAAAAAATGATACAAGACTTTTCCATCAAGGTCTGCAATCTGACATCAGCTCCCATTACAGTCTCACGACCGTGCAAGTGGTTGTTTATTTAGAGGAACACACTCGATACCCTGAGCCGCCATCTGCCACGAGCGGTGGTTAGCGAAAAATTACGTCACCTGTGCTCCTGGCGAGCGATTAAAAGGCCAGCCTCCTACTCACCGTGTTTATTTATAAAGTATTAGAGCAACGGCACGCGATCACAAGAGGCCAGCCGATGATAGCGTTTATCTCGCCAGCTGTGGATCATTCAAAAGCATTAAATTCGTCTTAACCTCAACAATTTTCCTCCAGTAATTTCCACATTAGCGATTATAAATTTCCTGTGAACAATTATAAGCTAAAACGCAACCGATTCCACCCGGTCGTACGGTTCACAACGTCGACCTTAATAAACCGACACCATCCGGCTCCACCTACGCTTTTTGCTTCGCGAATTTATTTACAAGTCGCCGGTCTCGGTGTTTTCTATTTCTTTTTTTTTATCTCACCGCAAACGCTGGCCGAGTCGCCTTGAGACTTTTCGCGAAGCATAAAAGACTGCACTTTCGGGGAATCCAGCCGGCCAAATAGTTGCCGAGAATCACGCGCGATGATCGCGTTTTTCGCACGGCAAATTTCGTCGTGTTGACGAAAATATCGATATTATCGATATAGATACTTGCAATCAAAATTAGATGTGCAGAATAAAATCTAAAAATAAGGCAGATTCTCAGGTAAAAATGTGGAAAAGATACCAGAATTTATCATAGTACCTGTTCTTTAACCTTCCTGAGTCCCGCGGGTCCTAGCAGAGTTTGTTTCACTGAAGATCCTAGTCATCCGGATTGATCCTGTATCTCATCAATTAGCTACTACTCCAAACGTTCATTTCAGTGAGGAATATACGTATAATAAGACCAGATTGAGCGGGTAAATTAAAAGGTGTCTGTGGTTCTAGAAGAAGCAAAGAGGAAAGGCTCAAAGACCTTCATTAGCCAACTTGTCCACCCTCAAATATTAAGAGAGGAGATGATTAAAGTAATCTTAATCCATCTCTCCACTTCAAAAAAAGAAGCTTTATAATCTTTCTCGAAGGAACGTGAGAAACAAACTGAGTCCTTGTGATGATTACAGAGAGCCTGTAGCTGATCAATTCAGAGAATTGCTTGGCAAATAAATTGCTCAATTTAAACTTCCAATTATTTGGAGTACTGTAAACTCGTTTCAAAAAGTACAAGGGAATACGTAAATTACTGTTGTGCAAACGTGTAAAAAGCTCTGTTTTTTTGTAACTGCTCTACAGTATCTTACCAGACGCTCAACTGTTCAGAGGAGAACATAAATATTGTACATGTTTTTCTTCTACCTTCTACCTTCCCTATTCACCTTCGATTTCCATGCAGAATAATAACACTACATTAAAAATGATACATAAGAACTGAAAAATAATAATGCGTTGTAAATTACAAAATAGATTTGAAACATATTTCTCCTTAGTGAAAATGTTATCAGAGGCTTTGTTACAGAGATATCAACGAAAAACCCCGAGCAATCAGAGGAATTCAAATCATCCCAGGAACACCTTATTTCCGCGAGTCGAAGTTATTTTGGGACACCCTGTATATGTGTCCACAGATTGAATAAAGTGACATTTCTCGTGTAATAATTTAATGCACATAAAGTGGAATAGAAGCCATTGAAAAGGGTACTCACCAGAGTCCACAGCTCAGATCCCCATGAAATCCTCTGATCCACCAGATCCTTTACTGCTCCCTACAGTCAGTCTTCCATCCGTCGCAGGATTTCCATCGGGGTAGGTGCCGTTGAAAACGTTCAATTTCTCCGTCGAACAGCCGTTTGTCCGCGTAAAAGCTCACAACCTGTCATAGCGTCGTGACACCTGTTTACACGGGTCTTTGACAGACGTCCGACGTTACGGTAGCAAAGACACGCGAGACAGAGAGCTTCTTGTCGTCTTTACGGGCCGTCGACTGTTTTCGCTGGATCGTAAGCGTTCCAATTTCCACGAAATGATCGACGACTTCAAAGCTCTAGACAGTGTCACCTCTGGGAATGAATACACGACCGGAGACTATTTACGACAATTTTCTTCAAAGTGTCTGAATGTTGAGGGGTCCACCTTTTCTCAGATCCTCTTTTAAGTCTTGATAGATTAGGATTGAAAGCTGTTGAGTTAATTCCTCCAGGTGTTGATCTATGATTCAGGTTGCTTTTGGTCACAAGTTTCGTTCTGGAGGACACTATTTACACTCGGTTTAGATTGTCCTCTAATTGGAGAAACCTTGATAATTGTAATATTCTTCAGTTTGGGCCTATAGCACCAAGATCAAGTTACCTGTAGATTGTGTCCAGCTGATGTCACTATCTCCACTGGTGAACGTACCCAGATTCTCCAAAGAGTAAACAACGTTAATCAGCTTCGTTGCATCGTCCAAGGTTCAAGAGGCGCTCGAAGCTCGTTGAACTCTTCTTGCCACGGTACTTCGTTCCCCGATCGCTTCCGCGGATAGACGTCAACGCAGTTTCCAGTTAACAGACATTTTCCACACTAAAACATCTACTTGAAGATAGTATATGTTCAAGGTACACAAGAGAAACCAGTATAGCATCAGTATCGTAAAAACAGGAAGAGATTAAAGTCCAGTTCCTGTTTACACCCCAGTCTGCCCTTCGGTGTTCAAGGTTCCACTCTTCACTTCCACTTGGATCACCAGTTCCTTCTAACACTTCAGTTTTCAGAGTTGAATTCCCCAATACCATTTGGATTGCCAGTTCCTTTTTACACCTCAGCCTGCCCTTCAGCTTTCAAAGTTCCATTCCCCAATACCACTTGGATCACAAGTTGCTTTGTACACCTCAGCCTGCCCTTCAGCTTTCAAAGTTCCATTCCCCAATACCACTTGGATCACAAGTTGCTTTGTACACCTCAGCCTGCCCTTCAGCTTTCAAAGTTCCATTCCCCAATACGACTTGGATCACCAGTTCCTTTGTGCACCTTAGTTTGCCCTTCAGTGTTCAAGACTCAACTCTCCACTACCACATGGATACACCAGTTGCTTTAAAACCGGAAGAAACCAATCCACACAGGTCCGTCCATTAACCACTCAATCTGCAGAATAAAAAGCGATCAGTTTCAACCGAAAATTCACACACACCATGAACAAATCGCTCGAGGAATGCCCTGTCGATCAGCCCCTATAAGATCTACCGACGAACTACGATGTAACACGTTGGATCAGCCTGACACCAAGCAAACACGTCCGACGCCAAGCGCCGTTTAAGCGCGACTGGCTTACTCCGGTGCTCTATATCGCGTATGATCTCACGCATGTCCGATTTCCGAGTCCATCTGCCCCCTACCTAAGCGACGCGCGCTCCGTCTTCGTCCCCCTCCGACGCGACGCTTCTCACTCGCCAACTGTTGCTTTCCGCGCGGATATTCCGACTGTCGACGGGATGAAAAATACCTGCCACGACGTTCCTCCGGTTCTTCTCCACCCCTGACAGAACAAAAAAAAGACTGACCCGCTTCTAGCCGCAAGGGGGTTGGTTTTTGCGTGTGGATCAGGTTTGTGGTTAGTTTTCGACAGGCGCCTGGGATTTGTTTATGGACAGGTTTTATCAGAGATCGCTGTGAAGGCCACAGAGGGTTGTAAATACTAGGACGTTTGGAATATAGTATATACCTGGAGAATTGGAGATACTGAACCTTTTTTTGTTGCGAGGGAAACAGATGTTCTGTTAATTGTCTCAGATATAAATCTCACAGGAATTATATTTGTGTTGTAATATTTTTAACGTTTGTTATTCATATTCCTGGACTTATCTTAAGGTTATAGGTCTTTAAATTTTGTGGAATTTCAGTTCTGATGCCTTTAACGGTTCCAGGTTTTTTAACATCCTAATTGTTTAACACATTGTCCTATGATTTTCTTGACGTCTACAATCTCTTGGATTATATTGTTAACGATAGATTCCTTCAAGAGGAAAGGAATTCTGTATTTTTACTGCAAAAGTTAAATATTAATGCCAGCAACGTGGTACAGTAAATCGGCGATAAGTGTTCGATGGTTCCTTGGCACTAAATATTAAATATTTTGTAAACTAATGGCCATATGCGGCTGAAACAAATATCATTGACTTCAGAATTCCAAGCTCTGTTCATGTGCTAAACCTCATTAAAAAGTCGGCGGTACACTCGAAGACCTCTACTTGTCAATGCTGAGGAGCCCTCGAAAATTCATCAAGGATTTACTGTACTTCACTTCCACTCAAAGAAAACCGAATAATATTCTTCTTTGTGGAATCCATTTTCAAATCGTCAACACGAGTCTGACTCGACGTTATAGGGCAAAGGGTTAAGTCTCTAATGTGATGGTTGACTTTGAAATGTTAGAGCCAGCAATTTCCCAACCTTTCAGCTGTTTACAACTGTTATTGTTCAGATCTACAACTTGGCAGACCTCTCCACGAAGCAATTTATCATGGCTTAAATAGATCGATTCCACAATGCACAGACGCGTCTGGCCCACAGGCTACTCCAAAATTCATGGCGGAATGAATCGAGACCAGGATAATGGTTCATGAAGCAATGAAACGAAAATATACGAAGGTAGTTCGTTCATACAGAGCTGCAGTTGTCACAATGAAGCACTGATATTCGTGCAATATCCTGTCATGAATGATCAGTGGGTAGATAAAACGAACATAACCAGTCAGGAATTTCATTACGTGCTAACCTAAAAAAGATAGACGTTAGAATCATATGAGAATTTTTATTGCATTTTACTAATGGAAAATAAAGAGATGAAATAATTTTGTAACTATTTTTGACTGAATACTATAGGTTTTCGAGTCTTTACAATTAGATAACGGATACTGATAACGAATGACTATGATTGTGGATTAGGGTCTGAAAGGATATTCATTAGAGAAATTTACTTTGGGGAGATTTAGGGCTCTCGAAACACAAAAGCGGCGCAGAGCACGTGCAAGTATTTAATGGTCAATGATAACGATATTAACGGGGATCGGTGATAACGGTTATAATGGACTCGTGCATTTTGATTGCCTTTTATCACTTGTCGACACTCCTAGTGAATGGACGAGTCCTTTCCTATACTGAGGTGGCTTTCAGGTTTAAACAATTATATCACAGTTTATATAAAAACATCGTAAAAAAAAAAGCGATACTCCACTAACTGATAAATTCTAACAGACGTTTATATAAATTCACACCTTCGCACTTTACAGAAGTAGTTCTTATTATTCCATTAAAAAATTCACTGTATTAAAGACAATATTTTCTACTTTTTACATTGACAAAGACCAGTAGTAATTATCGTCAATTGCCTAATCAGTAAAACTTTCTTACTCGTATCTCTTAGTGATTGCTGGCGGCCATCTTGAAAATCATAGAAAACCGTTATTATTTTTCTAACAATATATCTGATATCCGATATGATTTCTACTTTACAGAATGAAGTTTAAAAGCAGCTCGAGGCAACTGTCCGAGGAATCACGGTTATACAGAGTATTATTTATATAACATGCCGTGCAGATTTTAGATTGCAATTCGCTCGCGTTAGTGCCTGAATCACGCGCGGACTCTTGTTTGCTCGTGCTCGGGTGGAGAGAGAAACTCGGCGTAGAAATTGCATGGAATAACAAAATCCATTCGCGCGTAATAGGCTAAATGGAAGATCAAACAGACCGGGACTTGAGTGGAACGGCTCATGCGTCAATGAGTTTTTATCCAAAAGAAGTACACCTGAAACGTCCGACAATCAAATGTCTGCGGTTCCTCAAATTGACAAAAATGATTCCTGACATTTGCTCAAAAAATTGGCACACTTCTCATTACCACTGATGCATCCTATCATTTGACTTTCTTTCTCTGTAACCTGATCTTTCAGTTAAACATTTTTAATATTAATAAAGACTTCTTTTAGCTACTATAATGTGCAGAAGACAATATAAATGGAGATCTTAATTTTCATAACACTTACAAGAATAATGATGTGTAATTAATGTACCAAGGAGTGAATTCTCATAAACGTCCGTTATTCTACGCTGTCCTCTTATTGTTATGTTGCAAAATATAATATTTACATGCCACGATGATAGGCCACAATGTTTAATATAAAGCAATCATCCGATATCCAATTATCCATTATCGTAGAAATTCTGTTATCGGTAAAAATGTTAAATATTTGTCGTTCAAACCTATCGTCGCACCCTCGTGTTGTATACATACACACACACACACACACACAGAGCTGATTAATTTCATAATTGAAGTATAGCGACGCGACGATAACCGTTCACGTAATCTGGTTACCTTACTATACACGGTTATCTTTAATCTGCATGAACGTTATCGTCGGCATCAATTATTATCAATCCGTTCGCCGATAATCGACTACTGTGTATATAGAACTGCGCAGTTTCCTGTCCCTTATCGATGATAAATGGTGGCTGTCTTCAATGATCCAAGCTGCTTTTTATCTAATTTACTTGCACTGGGAGATTCTTTCCTGGTAAACAATTTTGTCAGTTATCAGACCACGAACGGTAAATAATAACAGAATAATATACAAAATATAATAAGATATTAAATTTCGATTTTTTGTTAATAATTGAAACCTGTTGGGGTGTCCTATGTTGATGGTAACGCAAAACTTATATTCTAGTGATCATGATTATAATGATTACAGATAGTCTAATTGAATGAAGTTCATGAAACTGAAGAAAATATTTATCTATTTTATAATTAATTGATATCTTAATTATCTATAATTAATTATTATTTAGTATTGTTGCGATTAAGTGACCAAAACCATTTATTAAATGGCGTTGGCACGCTCGTAAAACGATATTTAATTCAAGGCCTGGACACTTTCGCTCTCTATAATGAATTATACATGGGACGGCGACACCTTGTCCCCCAACAGGAGACCATTGGTACCGATGCGCCAGACAATAATGGCTCTCCAATAAGAAATTCGATCGTAGTGTTTCCATACCTTTTAACAATCTCGACACGATCAATTTATTCCCAAAACGTGTTTTTCTCGGTGAATAATTCTCCATAAATTCCCTGGAACTTACACTTTAAACCCTAAAAAAAAGAAATATATATGTCCTGTTGAGATGAACGAATCGTGTGACTTTCAACGAAACTACTATTAAAGATCAGGATATATTTAGGATCAAGGATAGAACGAACCAATTGTCAATAGTTCATGTATTTACAACATACTAAATGAAAACATTTCAAAAAAAAAAAATGCATACCTAGAGAATATTCTACCAGAGGACTGTTCAAGGTTTCAGCAAGCTTTATAAATCTTCAAATTATCATATTATTCAGATATCTCTGGAACTGTGAGATATAAAGAAAAAGTGTTCGTAGCAAAAATTACAGAACCATTCAGCTCCTCCTCCATCAGGGGTCATTGAACAAACGGTTGTCGATTCAGTCGAGAAAACGTCATCGTCCTCAGTTACCTAGCAAAAAAGAACGATCATCCATGTTACTCTTTGTTCGACAGAATCTTTCTCCATCAGCATCGAGGAGATTCGATGGTTTTCCTTGGACCACTAATGCAAGACTTTCAAGTACTCGAGTGCTCTCACCTTACTAGTTGACTTTTTCTGATCCTATAAGAAGCTCTCAGCTGAAACCTGAACCTTCCTCTGTTCATAGCAAACACTCTTTGTTGTACACTGCAGTTATCTCTCTCTCTCTCTCTCATCCACTACACGCTACATTTTCACGACTCAAAAAGTTTCAGGAATTTTTCATTTAAATGTCGCGCGTAAATGATATTCTGAAACTTTCCTTTCTTTTTGTCAGCACAACTCTACATTCTTTCCAATATTCAGCTTGACAGCTTATCATTTGTCATACTTACAGCGTTTTGTTTTACATAAAATTGTTATTTTTGGGCGATTTTTAATATGGGCTTGAAACGTACTGCAGCAAGATTGGTACCAAAAAATTGAATTTCTTGCAAAACTGGAATTGTGTCGAAATCTCAAAAGACATGCTTTCCAACGTGCGACGTTTTCTTGTTCGATCGACTGAAAAAACTACTTCGGCGAATGCGTTATGATAGCACTGAGACGATAAAACAAAAACCGCAGGCTGAGCTGATGTATACAGCAAAAATCGAATTCCAGAAATGCTTTGAATGCTGGATCGACTACTTTGAAGGCGACAATGAGATTTATGATGAATAACATTGTAGTTTTGATTTTATAAATAAATTCCTGAAACTTTTTGAACATGTTAGTATACGTTCCACTATGCTAAACTACTTCGAAACCGTTAATTTAAGTAGTATAATACCTGATGCGTTCCATCTTCTGTCTCCTTACTGACTTACAAAAATTTGGCTCTTGATTTTATTAACCCTCATTTAGACAGTGGAATTCGATATAAGTACACTTTTTGCGGTGAATTAATCTACTGAGAATACCACTTTTAGATAACAATGGGTGATACCAATATGGAATCACTACTTCAGGTAACTTAATTACTTTCCCCGTTGATCAAGTACTTTTCAACAGGTCAGTATTTTCTCAAATAAACTCGAATCAGATTTCCAGAGATCGTTTCACAAGTATTGGACTTACGACACGTGGTCTGTTAAGGATTTAATTTATTAATTAATATAAAAAAGGTAGAGACAAGATTTTCTAATTGAAACATCGTCTTCAATTGCTACGACTCTTGTACAGAATTTCTTCACCAAAAAAGTTATCCCTAAATCTAAATATTAAAACTTCTAATTGCCAGAAGATTTGAAAGTTCGAAAAATCTCGGGTTCATTGATCGACAGTAACCATGGCTGAATTAAAACAGATTTCTAGGGCACCAATATGTCCGCCAAATCTCGAATTTCATTCTGTCCCAGGAGGACGTGAAATATGTCCCTCATAGTGAGGTGATGAATGGTGTCATTAACTCTGCCTGCAATGTAACTCTGGATACCCGGAAGTATGTCTGGTTTAATAATGTCCAACGCCTTTGGCGATAGTTCCTGAAAGACCTACAAATGAAAACGTCAAATTTTCAATTTCCTTTTTATCGAGAGCAATAGCTTTTTCAATGAAAAATGTATATGTACATAGAAAAAGAAAAAGTTACATTTACTTTCATGAATTCAATCACACTGGTGCTCGAAGGAATTATAAATATAAAAATGTATACCCAACTGTAATTCAGAAATGTTATTATATTTTTTAAAGGTACGTTTATGATGATATTAACAGAAAAAGAACATTATGAGGCGTAAAATTGATAAGTTTGTTTACTGGATAATGGACCTACCTTGCTCATGATCCGCGAAATTTCTTCGTCCCCCATAAAATTCTCTAACCGGACGTCCATGGAGCTCAAATTGAAGTCCAGGTCGAAGGTCTTCAGGTAGACACCCCTGTAGTAGCCCAATATAGTGTTCACGTACAACTGAAAGTCGTAAATGTCCGCCTGGAATGGCCCGGCCCCGTGCAGATGGACCATATTCCCAAGGATCCCGGATATATTGTAAACGCCCTCGATGAACACGTGCGGGACCGACACGTTCGCGGTGATCGTCGGTCCAATTAGGGATAGCTTCGCTTTATTGATCACGAACGTCGAGAGATTGTGCACCACCAGATCCTCGATCACCAGGGTCACGCTGGATATTCAAACGGAGATCGTTAGGAGATTCTGGAATATCGACTTTTTCACGATTTTATAAGAATTCGTCGATTGTGTGGGATGAATGGTTCGTTGTGCGTGCGTGCAGGCGACTATGTTTGGGAAACTCGAGTGACTGAGAAGATGTGAACGAAGAGTGTTTAGAATTGAGCGATAGGGAAGTGTATGTTTTTACGAATTTAAGCCATGGATGCGAGAGACAGAGTGCAAGCGAGACGAATGCAAGGGGGTGAAAGAGTATATGAGGCGTGGAAGTTCGACGAGGCAGGCAATCGCAGTCAGTCAGAAAGGAAGTGTATCATCACGGTGCGTTTTTGAGAGAGCGAGCGTTTAACCTATTAACCTATTAACTAAAATATACTTATATAATAAGTAAAGCGTCATCTAAAATCAATCACCCCGTTCCTCGAGAATCCTATAATTGTGACCAGACTTCGAACTGAACGTATAGATACTGGAATATATCGTCTCATGAAATATCTATATTTAAATTTGAAAAGTATCGATATTTGAAATACCGTTACGGCGTCGCTCATTGTATGAGACTAAAAGGAATGTCCTTAACTTACTTCCCTATATCTGGATTATCGATATCTATATCGATCTCGTCCAGCTCAAGCGGCTCCAGAGGTGGAATGTCAAGTTCCGGTATCCCATAGCGCATCCGACCGCGAAACTTCTCGAGGAATCGTCTCAGTTTAAACTCCAGTCCCTTGGAGGCGGCGCTGTCGACTGTCCTTTCGTTGATTAGCAGAAGTTACAAAACGGTTGACGTCGATTCGTTACTTACTAATTCCGGTGGTAGCTCTGGTCGCGTTGATCAATAGCTTCCTGGGCTTATCTACCGCGCTGGTGACTGGAAAAACAAGAAACGAGCAAAGTTCACTTCCTATTTTCTTTACTGACCCCCCCCCCCCCTCAAGGCACGTTCCTGATTGCCTCTAGAAAAACGCTGCGGTAAACAGACTGTCTAACGATGGGGTTCAATACCCCAAAGTGTCTTGGACGAAAAAACATTAAAAATTCAATGTTCTTCTAACAAGAATCTTGACAAAGATAATTTTTCTGTACATTTATACCAAAATGGTATTTACAAACCGCTTGTTACAATCTTAAATTAATATCAAATTAGTATCAAATAGAGTGAATTGTAATCTTAAATTAATATCAAATATATCTCCCATAACTCAGCGGGAAAAGCACGTTAATAAGCAGCCAGCGAGAAAGTATCATGGTAAAATTAATCTCCCTTGCGAATAATGGCATTTAGGTTAGAGGAGTCCAACCTGGTGGTAAGAAATTGCTCCTTGCTTCGAAAATCTCAACGACACCGTGTTCCAACACGTGTCCCCTAAGTAGAACTATTTCAAAACATCCTGGACCTCATCTGTCCTCCCCAGACTATTACTCAACCGCCATAATCTAAAAATTCTCAGTTTCATTAATTTTATCCATCTTCAAGGTGTACTTAACCGCAGGAATCATAACTCAGGGGTCCAGGAGACGGTCAATTTTACCACCAGATCGGTCCTTCCAATAGCGATCTACCAGAAAAATAACGTTAGCATGTGCTCCTGAAGAATCATCTTTTTTTGCAATCCTCTGACCACTAGCAAATGCAACGATTGCATCATACAAGCCTATTAGACGATGCCGCAAGTCTGGAAGTGGCCTAAAAAGCTCTCGCGTGTACCTTGGTACCCAAACACGTTTCCGTGGGATTATAGTCTTGCATCAGGCCTCTCTTAGTAACACGTTTTAACGAATTCCGGGCCAACGAAATCGTTGGTCAACTGGTCAGACGTATTGGGTCATTGCACAAGTGGCGGACGTAGGTAAATGTGACTTCTCCTTTAGCCTAGTCGCCAGTCAAGTTACTTTAAACGTTACATAATATCAAGTGGCAAGGTCACTATGCAGTCTTGTGAAGCTCGACTTTTTAGAATGTCCTCCTTACACTTACTGAACAGTTTCTTTGATTGTCTGGCGACTTCTGATTCTACTTAACACTTTACCGACCGGTAGCCTATTAATAGACTTTCAAATTACAATGTTTATACATAAGGAAAGCCTACCCTTAGATCAGGGTTAAAAATTGTTACGTTATCCTATTTTTCATGGATGTAATTCGCTGCTGTGATTGAATTGTTAATAATACAGTAAAGCCTCGATGAGTACAACATACTCGGGTTCACTTGGGAGCATTCATGGCAAGACGGAAAGGTTTTCAGTCTAAATTTGTCTCTTTACCAGAAACCATGTTGCATTCATCGAGGGATCACTGTAACACGGTTCTACGAGCCACTGATGCTGAACAGAGAATATCCACGACGGAATCAGTTTGGGCATCCACAGTTTAGAGGCGTGGGCTCGATCAAAGTCTCACATACTGTAATCGGAGGCAGTGTCCGTCACTCGGTACAACAGTTCTTTCTGTCGTTGCATGATCCCAGTCACTGCAACAAACGATTAAACGGGACAATTTTCTTTGTAACTGCGGCCATCGTGGAGTAATGCATCGCGTGTACTCGGTGCCGTTTGTCGGCCACGATCGAAATTCAATGACGGTACAACGAGGATCGATCAGTTTCTGCAGGAAGTGGGACCATCCGGTGGAAGTCCATTCGCGAAACATTAATTACAGGAACCGACAATTTAACATGCGGCTTAGTTTAGGATAATTCAGGACGTAACATTATCGCCGCAAACGACACTATTTGGAAGACCAGCTTCTTCGTTGACGATTACCATTATCCAGGAAATTATAGAACCGTGAAAGACCTTTTGTCCAGAACTGAGATTGATTAATGAAAAGATAGACTACTCCCAAGACTGTGGTCAAGTCAGTGGGCGTGTAACTGAATAATGGAATAATTGCACGAAGAATGGTCGGATAATCGAGGTTAGGCTCTCCTATTGAGAAAACGGAATTCTACAGCTATAATTAATTTACGTTGCTATCGCTTCGTTCTACGTTCTCCATTGGAAAAGAGAGTACACTTAATTCTGTTTTCTACACGATTCTGAGGTAATAATAGAGGTATCAGTTAGCGAAAAGAACACACGGTGTCCTTTTTAACTGGAAAAGTTGGAATATCTCTTGAGCAGATGGAGATATGACGAAAATGTTCTTGCAAATGTTGTTTGGTATGAAAACGTATAGATGTGTTTGCTATCACTGGTGTATTAACATTAGAACTGTATCTATTTCTGTTGGACCAATACACACGAAAAAATCCTGAAAATATACAAAATAGACTAACTCATTTCTTCACTTTCCCATTGCAAGATCCGAGAAAACGGATTATTATAAGCTTTAACATTTCTATTGGTAAAACAGTCCAGAAATAAATTAGATTCTCTTTTTTTTCAGGAACGTGTCCATCGTGTAAGAACAGAATTACGTATAATATGGCCCACAGTAATGATGGGCGATACAGTATCGATACTTTCAACCCATAAATATTGAAATTTCGATACGTAACTTATCAGGTCTTAAGGAAAATGTATCAGTAGCTTCCCATAAAGTTTGCGATTGGTCGATTTCTTTTCCACACCGTCACCCAAAAATCTGCCTCACTAAACATCTCTTTAAATAAATGATTGATTTTCTTTTGTGGATTTCCACACAGACTTCTATGTATATAGAAATTTGTGTGAATTTGTATTACTTATAATTTCATTGCGAGTATCGATACCGACAACATCGATATTTTATCAATTTATTGATACAATTCAAACGTATCGTCATGACTGGTCGTTGGATGCGTGGACATAGAAATTCTATCTAAAATAAATAATAAACTAAATAATAAATAATAATAATAATAATTTAATATCGAATTTCTATGTCTATGATTGTTGGGTGACAGTGACCGCGGTAGAAATGCGGAATCGTGTCAGCGGTGTGACGAAACTCGCGTAAAGACAGCTCACGCGTCTCCGGAAGCGGGAAATTAAAATACGGAAAACGATTTCCTCGGAGAGTCGGTCCGCGCAGTGGGATACGAGGCTCGTATAAGCGTGGACTTTTTCAGATTCCCGTAATGTATTCGCGGGGCGTAACAACGCGGGCATAATGAGGCGATTACGGTTATTACGCCTCGGAAGACAGCACCGAAGAGAGAGAAACAGGCAGAACACGTACACAATGATGCTCAGAACCGCAAAAAACTTGTCATTGTACATTCGACCAGCGTTTTATCCTTTTTTTCTCTCTCAGCGACGCGAATTACACGTGTTTCTCGCTGCCAGAGATCCTGCT